CTCTTCCCCATAACTGGCAATCAAGTGAACTATAACATGGGAAGTGTTGAATATTCTGCCCAAGTCAGTATATTGTGCTTCTCTAGGGGGTGAGCTCCACAGGCCTTTCCTACAAAGATTCAAGCTCACATTCTTACCAAACCCTGTGAGGATCTGCAGGATCCAGTAAAGTAATCCTTAAACTTTAAATGTATGGGGCACCTGGCTGGCTCAGTCCGTAGAGTATGTGAGTCTTGATCTCAGGGTTGTGAGTGCAAGCTCCATAATGGGCATAGAGGTTATTTATAAATGAATGAATGTAAATTTAAAAAATGTGTAATAGAGCTCTGGGGGGATCTTGTCAAAATTCAGATTCTGACTCACTAGGTCTGTAATGTGGGTTGAATTTCCGCATTTCCAATGGTTTCCCTGTGAGGTCTATGCTGCTGGTCTACAGACCACTTGTGTCTCTACTTGTGCAGAGAACTTTTGGTCCACAGAGCCTAAAGTATTTGCTATCTGGACATTTAGGAAAACATTTGGTGGTAAGTAATTTAACCTAATAGTTGATTGTTAAGTTTCTTCATAGTCTCTACATGTTAGCAAGTATTTTTTAGGTATAAATAACAATATATTACTTTTAAGCAACAGGAGAGCATGTATATTAAGTATATCATGGGCTCAGGAAGAACAATCATATCAGATGTGCCTTTCTGCTAACTTGATATTAGCAGATAATAAAACATCACAAATATAATTGAGTTTTATAATATTTACTGATAGTATATTATGGCTTAAACTGCCTTTGAGACATAGCAAAGATAAACTTGCTGAGGGTAAAGATTGAAGAGAAGTGTCTGAAGGAATTATGTAGCTCTTAGAGCTCAAGACTTGAGCACCTGGCATTTTTACATTTTATCCAATTCACCTTCCAAGTATCACTTCCACATACCTCAAATAGAAATGTTGTTTCTACTTCTCAAGGAAAAGATGAGCAGAAATAAAGAGTTAAATAAGTTGTCACAACTATATAAACCAGGAGGTTAAGACGTTGTCCAAATCAGGTAATTCTGAAAATAAGCTTTAAATGGCAATAAAGAGACTTAATATTGATATCACTGGGCTAATTCAGTGAAATAGGTATTTGACTATTATTTCTTCTGTTTAGTTAGTAGAAAGAAGCATAAATATTTGATGAATAACATATAGAAAGTATGTGGCATGAATAGCCCTTATTCCAAAGATCTTCGTTCTTCTCAACAGTCTGTATGGTAATTTCCCAGAAATGGGACACAGAGGGAAGAATAGTGTCTGGAAAAAAGGAAGAATCCAAGCCTGATTGTGGATCAAATACAACTACAAAAATTCTCTCCAGAGCTTCACTCATTCTTTCATTCTACAAATATTGAGCACCTACTTGTTCTAGGGGCTGGAGATACATCAGTGAATAAAATAGTCCAAGATACCCTCCCTCAATCTTGTACAATTCTTGTACAGGAGATAAAACATAAAGAAACATAACAAGTAAATTATATGGTATGGTTATAGAATGATACATCCTTTAAAAATATAAAATGTAGAGCAGGATAACGGGGTTTGGGAAAGAGGGGTACGGTTGAGGGGCAGCATGATAAAATTCTATCACTTATATTTAAATGGAAATCATGTATACATGCATTTTGCATAAGTTAGATTCTCTCTACGATTCTTTAAAATATTGAGTAAATGATATATGATTTTAAAAAATTCTAGAAATTCTACCTCTTGTTCTGTGAAATTTTAAGTGATTAACTTGAGAAGTACCTGGTACTATATAGTCACTCAAGGTTCTAATGAACCAATCAACTGAGATATTAGAGTGTTCTAGCAGTGAGAACATGTGTGATTTGGTTTTTGAATGATTTAAAATCTGCTGCTACAATGACACCATCTAAGATTTCACAACAAAAGTGAAACATATATCGTCTTATGTTCTTAGGATAAATGCCCCCCAATATATTTATATATCAATAAGATTTATAGCCAGTACCATTTATGTGACTCCTGAGGTAAACTCTGATTTTCAGAGTGTAGTATGTATGAGACAGTGAGTGACCTTGGGAACAAGCCCCTAGGCACCCAGGATGCTCCATGCTGGCTGTTGTTTTTCTTGCAGATCAAACAGGGACCAAGGAGCAAGCCCAGACGGGTTCAAACTGATCTGAGATAGGATGGCCACCAAATTTGACCTTTTATCAGCTTTTCCTCTCATTTCAGTGCTAGAAAACATGCCCAGTGGTGGAGACTTAACATGCAAATGAAACATCTGATGTATGAAGAAGCATGTTCTGTCAACCACACCTGTGTGCCCACTTGCCGGGGATTCCCAGCCCTTCCGTGCATGAGCAGGACTCCTTCCTCACCTCAGCCCCCTTAAAACTTCCCCTGGCTGTTGTTCTGAGAGCCAGTCTGACACTTTTGTTGAGACTGTGTCTCCTTTTGGCTGCAGCTGCTGCCCCAATAAAGCCTTGCCTGTACCTTTAAATTTTGGGTCCAGCCTTGTTTCTACTGTCGCTGGGTCCAAGAACCTGAGCCTGCTAACAGTTATATCATCTTTCAGTACAAAGTTTACTACTACAAAGAATGCCAGACATAATAGACCTGTGCCTTAAGGTTAAGACATTAACCTTATGGTTAAGACATTAAAATAATGGTGACCACATGGTAAATGGCCTAAAATAATAGAATTAAACTGGTGAAAGTAAAACTGTTTTATCAGTATAATAACTGATAATATGATCCACAGATGGACAGCACAGATAAAATAGAAATGCCCTAAGGCTACTATCGAACAGGGGATTAGTGTCTTTGCACTGCATACATGTGGGGATCAATTCTATGTTTAAACTGAAAACAGAAAGAGACATTTTCGTGAAAGCCACTTTTCCACCATCCATTTGGAAAGCCAGTTTGGCTGAGAGAAGGCAGTTGTCACAGAGACTGAAATTTAGAGTGTGCCTCGCATAGAACACCAAAGTTAGAGTAATCCACCAACACCATCAGAACTGATAGAACATATATAAGCAAAGAAGTAATTTCCAAAGAAATCAGGCAACAGAGATTCAATTCCCTTGGACGTCACTTTGAATAAATGTATTGGTAAACACTAAAATATCCCATTGGACATCTACCATAGATTAGATTTAATGAGAAAGAATTGATGCTGGACAGACACAAGGAACTAAACTGGAGTCATTTACTTAGTTAAGGGTCTTAGATCCTTCCACAATCCCCATGAAGTTCAGTGCTATCAGGAATCTATCTTTTTTGCTTTTGTCCTAGAATACTGTACTGCATTCTTCATACTTTGAATTGACAGTGCTGTGGTATTAAGTCTACTACCTTTGCTCAATTTTTATTATTTTTGTACTTTGACTTTTGTTAAGTGATCTAACATCTTTATGAGAGTCACAGGATATTTTTAAGGTTTTTTTCTAAAAATAAGATTTACTATTAAGTGGCTTGCTGACACTCTCCTGCATCTAATTAACAGATCAGGATAAAAGTGAGAATATACAAAAGTCATTCTGAAAACTCAAAGGTTATGTTACAAACAAATGATTATCTTGGTGATTCACTAGGCATAATATAAAATGTGAGCAAATCCTTATAAGCTACATTCCAGGAGAAACATTTTTAAAGGTGATCTTCAATTTTGCTTAATGACTAATCATGATCTTTTACATTATCGTATCATCTCAGAATCTCAAGTGCATTTATATTTTTCCTGGTCTCTAATTTATAGCACTGATGTTATTGATACAGAGAATAAAATATTCAGTTACCCTTACACCTGTTTCTCAAAGCACATCTATTATAAATATTAAATTCTTTTTTTTTGTAGTTATTGTTCTAAATGCATTGACTATCTTTAAGTTAGGAATGCAGTAACCTGAATATATTAACCTGAAAAATACTTATATCTAGAGCTTCAATATTATGGAGTCTTTGGGGCTATTTTCACCGGACTTTGATAAAAGAGGAATTATGAGATAAGGTGAAAAAAAGGGAAATGAATTTTGGAAACTTCTTTGTGGGGGAAAATTTAAGAGATTCCAGTAAATGTGTCACCAATGGTACTTTGATGGCTACATTTATAAATAGAGACGGTCCTATTAGTTCATATTGTTTTCTGAACCATATAATAAAATTGGAGGAGTGTTGTTCCAACAGCAGAAGCTATTTCAGCAAGGTTGGAGGGTAACTGCTATGATTCAGGCTGACCTACTGTAAACTAATCTCAGTCCAATACAAAAAGACAGATGTATTAAAATAAAAGAATAATGGAAAATATTGCTTACAGACTACTATATTAAGATTTAGAACCAAAGAGTTTACAACGTACTCTGATCAAAGATGGCCACTCTTCACAAACTTCTGGCAATTTAATTATTATCACTGTGTTTGGTTTAGAAAACTAAAATGGGCATAGTTAACTAAGAATATGTACATTTTTCTTTTCTTTTTTTCTTTTCTTCTTCCCCCACCTTTTTTTTTTTTTTTGGTTAATCTCAACACAATGAGGAATAAACAAGAGATCTTTGAGTTTTCACCAGTTACGACTTTCAGTCTTTCTTTGCTGCCACTTAAATGACATTTCAAGCATATTTCAAATTTTGCCAGTTTGGTTATTATAAGACTCTCGTTTTAACTTTATTTTCAGATTAAATTCAAATGTCCTCTCCCCCTCCCTCTCTTGTGGGGCACTGTTGGGCTTATTCGACAGACTCTTGATCAGGACCAAGGGAAATTTCTGGTACCATTTTTGTCAACCTGTAAGGCTTTCTTGCCACCAACTTTGGGACTTAGTTGCCAACTTCTGGACAAGACAAATGCCCCCAAATGTCCTGTATGGTGCCCCCAAAATGTTCCATTTAGAGCACAATCTGTAAACCTTCATTTCCCTCCATTCTGATCCATGTTCATTTAAACTCCACCCCCAAAGATAGCAAACGTATAAGACTGAAGAAAAATTGGATTACCATGGCTGTTACATCTGGATGTTTCCACGAGCCTGCCATTTTGGTCGTAGCATGCCATTGCTTGGTAACGATATCCTTGACCACATTCCTTGGTATCGCCTTGTGTTTTCACTCCCAGCAACGCTTCCACTTTCCCCTCTGGTAAAATGCAGTCTGACCAGTTCCCCACAGGCTGTGCATTATACTTGTCACAAGGACAGTACTGAGTCTCAATCAGGGGGTACAAATGAGAGTTTTTACATTTTTCCTTCTTTTTACTTTTTCCTGTGGAGAAATTTAAGTTGGAAAATATCGTTATTCATTTCAAGCATCCCTAATTTTCCTCCTTTCCTAAACTTCCTTTCTCCATTTTTAACCATAGTCAACAGTAGCTTACAATGAATGCTATTTTCTCACTCCACAGTGCTTTCTCTGGAGGCTCTTATTAGTGCTGGGTGCCTTGCAATAGCGAAAGTTTTCTTATTTTCTCATTTTAAAATCACCATTTGCAAAAGGCGTTCACCGTTTTGCTGAATTTTATACTCTTCGAATGATTGAAACACTTTCCAATGATCACGTGCTTTCACTGACTAGGGGAATTTAAGGTAATTGCATAAATCTCTCCTTTATAACATGTGCAAAAATATGAAATGGAGAAAGTCTCTGGACTGGACTGTACAGCTTTAGTTAATTCCAAATAGATGGCATGGTTATAGAGGATTACAATTCAAAAAATGAGATTTTTATATTTTCTTTTGTTAACTTTTTATTTTTTTTTAAGATTTTATTTTATTTATTTGACAGAACGAGAGAGAAGGAACACAAGCAGGGACAGTGGGAGAGGGAGAAGCAGACTCCCCGCTGAGCAGGAAGCCTGATGCAGGGCTTGATCCCAGGACTCCGGGATCATGACCTGAGCCGAAGGTAGATGCTTAACGACTGAACCACCCAGGCACCCCCTCTATTTACTTTTCTGATTATGACTTTGCATCTTTCATTATTTCTGAAGAGTCATCATTTTGACACACTTGGTGGTTAGTGTAGTAAGTAATATTAACAGTGAAGATATTTAGTGTCAGAAAAAAATACTAGGAATGGTCTGCATATAAATCTAAATAAATTCCCTTTTAAAATAAAAAACGAACAGTAATATGTGCTTGAAAATAATATGTCATTATTTCAATTGAATCACATTTCTATTATCTATTTATTATGCTTTATATCATATAATACTATTAGTTATATCACACACAATTAATTGCATATGTTTTACATGTATTTATTTCTAACTTTCAGAATGTGCTTTATATAGTTTTCAACAGACTTCATTATGACAGGTGGTTCATTTTATAACTTATAAATTCGGAATAGTCTACTGGGTATTTTTTTTTAGGTTTCTTCTTGCCATTGACAGTACTTTTGAATGCACTAGGTTTAGTTCGGTATGATAGCTCCCGTTCTCGCTCATTATATCCCTGCTTTTGTCATTGTGACTGCCTTTTAAAACGCAGTTTTCAGATACAAAATTAGTGTCATATTCCTCTTCTAAGGTATGAAGAATAATCTGAGGCTGTGACAGTGAGAATGGGTTAAGAAAATGAGCGGTAACCTTTCCTTTTGTTCTCCAAACACCTCACAGTGTGTAGGCAATCCACCAGAAGTGTATATTTAAACCAAAAAAAATAATCTACCTATTGTATAGGGAGCCAGCTCAATTTTCAAGGTTATTCTTCCTTTCTACTAAAAGTACATAGCATGCCTGTCACGGACAACTTACATTAAAATACACATATGAATCCACTGGCATGTACCAGCAGCAATAAGACGTGTGTATGTGTTTTCCAAACACATTGTCAGAACTCTCTTGGTCTAACTTTTTTTTTTTTAAAGATTTTATTTATTTATTTGACAGAGAGATAGCTAGAGCAGGAGAACAAGCAGGGGGAGTGGGAGAGGGAGAAGCAGGCTTCCTGCCAAGCAGGGAGCCCGATGTGGGGCTCAATCCCAGGACTCTGGGATCATGACCTGAGCTGAAGGCAGATGCTTAACGACTGAGCCACCCAGGCACTTTCTTGGTCTAACTTTTAATGTGTTTTCTAAGTTGACAGTGTTGGCTTTCACATCCCAATTATTCTTACCAACAATAGTGCGCTTTCTGGTCCTAACTGCACCACAGTCTCCGTTGCATGATGAAAACTTGGACCAGCTGGTAAACTGACAGTCATCTTGGCAGGGGATCTGGCAGGCCTGGGTGAGGGCTGGAACAGGGCCTGCATACCAAAGGCATTCATGGATGCCAGCCGGTCCTCCATCTTGCTTTCGACAAGTAATAGCTAAAGGAAAAGCATATAGAGCTGTTTAAAACAAACTTGAATGTCTATAATTATTGAATCCACAATTTTGGAATTAACCTAACATTTTCTTATGCAGTCAGAGGAATCCTCTTTTAATTCCTTATTTGCAGCAGAAATCTGGGAGGAATGTTTCTAATAATCACAGTAGTCATTAAATTGATCCTGTAGGTTTTTTAAAATAACAGATAACCCTCAGTGGTTTATGTGACACAGAAAAGTGCATGGGCATGCACACACACACACACACACAGCATTTATCAGTTTTTATTACATGCTATTAAGGATTTCAAGTCCTTATTTAGAAATTAATTATTTAAGAGACAACACATGGGTTCTGATAATAGTTTATGCTGAACATAGACTATTCACAGAGGTGCTGGGAGACACCACATACCTCTAATACTGTTTATATATCATTGGTTGCTCTAGGATTTCTATATAGAAGGGTCTTAGTGCCAGCAAATTGGAAGGTTTGGGTGAGGAGGGGATGCTTATGGAAACCATCTTGTAACTGCATTTGCATGAAAAGCATGTTATTTTACTACATTGGAAGTGTGTTGGGATGGCTTTGGAGTGGTTAATGGGGGAGGGGGGCTGTGTCAAAGTCACCCATTCAGCTGTCTACAAGTTCTTCACATGCACAAATATCAACCGTGAATTTAAAAATAAAAGCAAAAACTTCTAGCAATCTTTATCATATCATAATTGACATTTCCACAATTACATATGGGCTCTAAGAAATGGTCAAATAATTTTAATTCATACATATGATTTCCCCCAAGATATTGTTCTACTGGATTTTTAAAACTCATGTCATATTTTTATTGCTTATTGAACATAGTCATAAAATTAAGGTATCAAGACTCAAAGAAAAAGAGCAAGTGATGTTCTAAAGTCCCCTTTCTCTCTCTGTCATTTTTTCCCATGGTTTTAAAAATAATTTATTCACTTATTGAGGAAGAAGACAAAACATTTAGACCTTGGTCCTAAAAGTGTCTTTCTTGGTCCTAAAAGTGTCTTCCTTGAACTAGCTTACATGGCCCCAGTCAGACTGATTTACGTGGCCCTTTCAGGTTTATGACCTAGGCTGGAACTTGATCTCTTTCCCACTCAGGATCCTATTCATCATGAAACTAAGGTGAAGGAGCCTGACATTTTGATCCTAAGTTATAGTTAGGACACCTAGGGTCCCAGGTTAGATAACACTCTCCAGATCTGTATAGTAAAACTTAACATCTAGTAGTAGGGCTGTGTGATGGGGTGTCTAAAGGGATGTAACAGTTTTCACAAGGGAAGACTTTCTCTGTGTAGGTGAATACAACTTGTCACAACTGGTGCAGGAAAAGTTACCTAACTGTGAAAATGTAGGTCAGTATTCATCTAGTTTTTAGCTAAAGATACCTCTTCATTTAATGTGCACAACACTGAAAGGGCCAATTTGTATGAAGAGGACACAGGGGTCCCTGAATTTTAAATATATGAAAACCCGGTAGAATGAACAGTGGTGGCAGTTATGAAAGTTCTGTGACAGGAGACAGCAACAAGTGCCCTGAAGAGACTCTCACCACTCGGGAGAGGAGGTCCGCTGCTCTGTGTTTATCCTACTGGTCTAGTGGCGGTTCTCAAATCAGGCTGCAGATTGTAATCACCCAGATAGCTTCTGAGAGCTGTCCATACCCTTGCCAAACTCTAACATTCTGATTTATTGGTTGAAGACAGAGTCCTGGGCATTAGCATCTTTTTAAAACCTCCTTGGTGATTCAAGTATGAAGCAGTGGATCAAGACCACCGCTCTAGCAGGTGATGTATTTCCACTTGCATCAGAAACACATGGAATACTGTTAAAATGGAAGATTCTTGGATTCATTCCAGTGCCTTGGTGCTCCATCACCCTGGCACTGTGCCAAGGTTGGGAAACAATGCCGAGCAGGTGAAGATGAACTAAGGGAACTCTAAAAGTGGAACTCAAGGGGCCTTGCACAAGCAGTGAACCAAAGGAGCATCCACGTAGTTTGGCAGAATGTTATCCGTGGATCTGGATCGATACTGGAGGACTCCCCATTAAGTGGTATGCTAATGATGTGACTTTGCAATCTGCTGCCACGTGGAGGCAGAGTTGATTCCTTAAACACTGTAAACTTAGTAACCTCTGATAGTTTGTGGGCAAAGTTGTCCCAAGGAAGCTCGAGAGGGAGGACTGACAAAGAGGGAGATATTAGATGATTTATTTTTCAGGATATGTAGGAATCTGAAGAATGATTAATTTGGAAAAGAAGAGATTTGACTATATCAGAACTCTAGTCTGTGAAGGGGATCACATTGTAGTAAAAGTAAAAAAGTAAAAAAAACTAAATCTGGGTTCTTTAAAATAAGACTACTTTTATCTATTCATCCAATCTGACTCTCTGAAACAGACACCTGAATAGAAATCTTTTGAGAAGCTAAATGAAATTGCCTTAGGTTCTCCATTAAGGCTCTCTAAGGTTCTCTTACAAATGTTATTTCAGAATTGCTCTCTCATCACATTAAATGACACCAAAAAACCAAGATAAAATAAAACCACCAACAACACAATTCCAGAAACAAACTAGTTTATTTTGTGCAGATCTATACTATTTGTATAAATGTAGAGCCCTTTTCCCTATATGCCTTAAGTATTTCAATTAGTGGAAAAGAAAAAAATGTAAATTTCCCATATCTGTTCTCAGAAATCCACGCAGCATTCCGCTCCCCTTATCTGAGATTTTTAGACGTGTACTTTGAATGAATTACTCATGTAATGTTATCTAAACAAGTAACAACAGCAATATTTGTACAACATATTGAAAATTTATCATACATCTCAACTTGTTTCTCTTCTGACTTAGAGGAAACACAACAACTCAAGTGCAGAAATGCAATCTGAAACTAACTTCCTGCTATTAGGGTGAGGAAAATATAAATGTTTGGAAAGGAAACCAAAGGTCTCTCAACTTTATAAACCTTGAAAGTCATTTCTAAGATACTGAAAACAGGGTGGTTTTAACCATAGAAAAGATGCATCATACTAAGCATGGTTTCCTAGCACACCAGAAAGCTACATATACCCAGACAGTTGTATCTGTATTTACAGGTGGAGGGTGTATGATGATTACGCAAGTTCTCCTTTGGGCTGAGGTCTTGTGAACAAGATGGGCCAAAACCCATGCTGCCCATCTGCTTCATTCACCCTGAAAGCTTCTTAGTGAGGTCAGCAAATATCGAAATAATTACTTTAAGGTAAAATTCTTTAACTTTACGTTGATTGTATCTGTTTATTTATAATCTTATTTTACTTATATGAGGCACAGCAATTTTTATTTCAGTGTCATTCCAGCAGGCTCAAAGTCTGGGGAGACATCCATGTGGCTGCCTTGTGGGTTACATCTGAATTAGGCGAAGCCACTCAGCTCATCAACATGGAGGGAATGATGGAAGGATAAGTAAGGGAGTGAGTGTCTTCAACAGATAAATGCTCTGGAAAAGGGAGCTAGAATTATTAGATTAAAAGTGACTCAACAAATATTCTAACCAAATGCAACGCGGAGACGTTTATGAACCTTGGTTTGAACAAATTGATTGTGGACATTTTTGAGACGATGGGGGGAAATTAGACATGTTGTAAATATAGATGATACTGAAGAATTATTGTTAATTTTGATTAGTGTTATAGTAATACTACTGTTACATTTAAAACAACAAGGTATTTATGGGTGATATACATTTTATCTGGGAGTTGCTTTAAAATATTCCAGCAAAATCTTTGTGAGTGAGGAGTGGCAGATGACCAAGAATGACAGCATGCTAAAGACTTGAAGCTGAAGAAACGAAGACCACACTACCAGGGCTCATTATATTAGTCTTCCTATTTCAGGGTCTCTTTGAAACTTCCCATAAATTTAAATAAAAAAATTAATCAGTTGAATAATAAAGTCAATTTTAGAATGTTTTCATGTAGGTTGAATTTTGCGCTATGTTTTAAAGAGGAGAATAATCAAGGTTGCTAGAATGAAAGGAAATAGATAACATTGGTTTGAGCTAAAAGGACACGGTTATCTGTGTTATGCATATATGACTATGTAAATGGAACATTACCAACGCAGCCCTGAAGTAAATCTAATAGAATTCCAAATGCCGTTGCTCATCTTCATTTTCTTGAAGAGGAATGAAACTACCTTATTATTCAGGATGCACAAAAGAAAAAGGAGTTCTCTCGGTCTGCAGATCATCCTTCAGCATGCAAGATCATGTCATTTCGTTTGAATAATCAGTGAAATAAATGACTAGATCTAGAATGTGCACATAGAAGTTCATTACAGGAAATAGAAGAAGATCAATGCCCCAGTGCAGTGAAAGCTGCTGGATTAGATGTAAACAGAGTTCAAGGAGCTCTGAGACATTATTTATTAAGTTGAGTAATATTAACATGGTTTACCTCTCAGCAACAGCATCTGGGTATGTGTTCAGTGGACTGAATGCTTAGAGGAGTGATTTTTTCCTATAGTGTTAATGAAAAAAATGGCAAAAGTGAGAACGAATCATGTAGAAATGAAAAAGAAAAAGCTTAATGTGAGTGAAAGCTAGTTACCCAGAGACCTAATTGTGCTTAGAAATAAGACCCAACCCATAAATAATGCAAGAGGGCTCCAGTTGTTTACTAGGTGGATGTAATGATCCCGGGCTTTCTCTGTGTAGAAGAGATTTTCACTGACAAGTTTGCCAAATTACTTTCTAATGACAACTTGTGAATATAACAGGCAGAACGGAAAGAAATGCACTTTTTTTTTAATTGATCCTAAATAGTTACCAATGATTCCCCAGTCTCACTGATGTTAATAATATATGTGAATATATGTGAAAGTCCTTGAATGAGGACTTACTAGGAAGTAATAATCAGCTCCCAGTGGAGAAGCTCAGACGAGGGACCAGAGAAGGGCTAACTAACTACATCACTGAGGAAC